CCCCAAAACCCCAAAACCCCAAAACCCCAAACATTCAGGATAATTTTACAATATAATAATAAAATGGAGAAGAGGAAAGCTTTCAACCCATCTTTAGTGTCACTTCCAAAGCAGGGTTCCTCCAGGCTGGCCAGCCTGAAGGAAACCGATGCTTATGAGAAGTATCTTCAAGGGTAAAGTCTCCTCATTTTCTCTTGTTATGAATATTTAGGAGAAAATCTAGTTGAAATAGAGCTTTCGTTTACGTTTCCTGTGAAAAAGAAGTATAATTGGGTTATTTAGAGAAAAGAAATTGTTAAATTTCTCAGGAATTAAAGAGAAGAAACAAGAGAAAGAGACTATCAAGACCAGTGGGAAATAAGGCAGCCCACCAAATTGTGTTTAACAACACAGTTTCCCCTGGAATTGGAGAATCTACTGGTATGGTTTCTTGCTAGATTGCATTACTTTTACAATTATTTGAATCTGTTACCTTTGCTTCAATATCTCTATACCTAAATGCCTCTCAAACTATCTTGCCTCAAAGGTTCTAAAATCTCTAATTTAGGAGCTGTACCTCAGAAAGTTGATCAGCAAGAGCCATTGGACAAAAGTATGTCATTCAGTCTAATCAGATTCAGATTTGTTCGATAACAACCCACAGATAGAGTTTGATGACCATGTCAAGAAGGCATTGACCACTAGGGTCTCCAGTGATATCTACCAGCTTATGAGAGATTCTTCAGAGACTCACAATGATGGGGTAAGTCTTTCTCGATATGCTCTTAGATATTAAATAAGTTAAAGAAGAAGTATCGAAATTTCAAACCTCAAGGATCCAGCACCTTCCTTGAGAAGCAAGAGGGCTTAGGAGATGAGGGGAATTTCAGCTCACGGAATCCTTATCTGAGGCTCAAACAGGATTCCATTACCAACCAGCAGGCTTTTGCTAGGAAGAACCTATCGTTAAAATAGCAAGTTCCAGAAGCTACAGAACAATTATGGGGATTTCTTAGCTATAAACACACTTGATGATTTGAAAAAGGCTCATAAGAGCTTTCTTCCTGAGAAACAATTGACTTCGAGAGTTGATAAGCCAGCCCCAGCTTCTTTGCATAGTAGAAATATTAGCGAGAGTCTGAGAACCTTATCATCAGCTGACACCAGGCGTAAGAGCTTGACGAATACGTAAAGATGGGTTTAACCTTTAGTGGGAAGACCCAAAAACCTAAAGATTCACCAGATATCCACAAGATCTTGCTTAAGAGCCACAAAATTGATAAAGGTAGTTCCCAGGGAAATTTGCTCCATAAAAAGCTTATTGGCTCTGCAAGTACGATCTATCCAAATGTTCCTCTACTCCATAATTCCAAGATTGGGACGCCAAGTAAGGTTGAGATATAATCCTATAGAATCTAAAGCTTCAATAAAGAGGGTTGAAGATGTAGAAAGCATCTACACACAGAAAGGTGATTCTTCACTAAAACCTTACACTGGTACCAACCGAGAAGTTGAGGACTGGACTAAAGCTCTTTTGCCTCAGGAGTTAACCCAGCTTAGTAAAATGATTCCTCCTGGAAGCGCAGCTTCCAGAAGAAGCCATTCTACTCATGGGATGTCTCCTAACAACAGAGATAAGTCTATCGGGCAACTTGTAGGATCGCGTAAATATGAGAATAAGCAGAAGGAGTTGATCCTCAACTTTAAGAAATCACAACAGTACCTTAAACTACTTAACTTCTCTAGCATCTTTGGAAGGCAAGATGTGATCCTGCTGCAGTCATGGCTTGCACAGCAGTTAAGAAATTTAGAGAAGAAAGGAGTCTCTAAAGAAGAAAAGCTTAACCTCTCTAACACTGCATACAATATCGCCATGGAGGAGATCATCAAACAAGTCGATGTTGAATGTAAAGAAAGAGGGCAGCTACTTAAAAAGGTTTGGTCTCAGGCTATGACACTAAATTCATATGAGAATACCAAGTTTAGTATGCTTAGAGATTTATTTTAGCCCGATCACAGGAATTATTACTAGAATTTGAACAGAAAAAGAACAAAGAGCTGAAAGAAAGAATCGCCAAGATGCAGAAAGAGATCAGCTCTTTATCAAGTAATGCATTTAATTAATTATTAGAGAAATTGACTGATCTTGAGAACACAGACTCAGGGAAGCAAGGTGCAACAGGTAATTCATTCATGGGCTCCAAGAAGAAGACTCGCTTCAAGGACTCCTATACCAAGAAGCGGCGACATAAGCGCTATGAGCCAAAGGATTATCAGATGAATGGCATTACTAGCCAATTTGTGAAACTTTTAAGTGAACAAGGTGAGATTTTTGACATTTAACTCTTTAGATTCAGAATCTGACACTGATGTGATAGAGAAGGAACTTGAACGACTAGATTCCCACAAAGAAGTACGTCCAATTACACCTGAAGAAGTTCCTGAGGAAGAAGAGGAAGAGGATTTAGATTATATTAGCATCGCAAAGAAATTAGAGAACTGCCAGATTAATTCTAAGGCCGTATCCACACAAGAACTTGAGTCTCGCAAAGATCCCTTTTGGGAATATGAGAAGAAGATGAACAGAGGCGAAGTTATGGAAGCCTGAACTGACGCTCAAATTCAAGGAATGGATCTATCTGAACTCAATGATAACAATTATAGCGATCAAGCTAGCTCTGATAAAGAAGATACCTTCATAGAAGGTAATCAGACCTTGCTTTCTCTAGGAATTATAGAAGGTGAAAGTGACCTTTCTCAAGGAGAAACATTACAAACTCCCTTATTGAACCCAAATATCATCCTAGATAATTTCACTGAAGAGGATGCTCCTCTTGGAGATGAGTCATATGCCTCATACCTTGATGAAAACCAGAAGACAAGAAGGATTCAGACTGAGATTACCAGTGAGCAGATGAAGGCATTCTTTGATACAGGTAAATAAGTCCTCAAATCTGTAGATAATTCGGTCCTGAATCAGTCACTTGAGAATATCAACAACAAATTATTTGAGGAGTTATGTAATTTTGAAAAGCTTTCAGAGCTGCAAGAAGATGATCAGGCTTCCAAGTATAGCCAAAGTACAAGCCAAGATCCAAGTAGAAGCGCAAGTCAGGACCCTCAGACTACAAGGACAGATGGGGTTGAGCGATCAGCCAATCTTCGTAACTACACATATAACTTCACAAATGCAGTGAAGCATCATAGTAAAGGGCAGAATACTCCTAGACATCAGGTTGCAGAAGGACTAAGTCCTCTCGAAATTGGCACTTCAAAATTTATGAAGAAGAGAACCCAATTTGGTAAAGGCTCAATGAGGAAGCAGAAAGGAAACAACCAGAAAGAGTTTGGGGATTTACAAGATGAGAGTGATGTATTTAGCCAAGAAGATGGCCTAACTCAGAGTGAAATAAGTCATTTTAAGAAGAGTGGAGAGGAATTTAAGCATGATGAATTTTCTGAGGTAGATGATACTAGCAAACCTCAAAATTCAAAGAACCATTCTACAGGCAGGAAGGAGACAAGAAGAGACATCAAGAAAAATAAAGGTACTTGACTTCAAGTTACTCTTCAATATTGTACTTTGAGTTTGCTTTTAAATTTTCAAAGCCTTCTGAATCGAAGTGTATCAGTATTTATTTTCAAAACACTAAATCCTTCACTACTAAAGTCCATTTTCCTGCATCAAATTTATCATGCAACATTGTATAGATTTACTTAGAGTTCCTAGAAATTTAACTCTAAGGAACAGAGTTATGATAGATTCGGCAGAAATTTCTTACAAAGCCCAGTTCCATAAGGCTCTGAAGTTGATCAATTCCTTACAAAAAGAGTTGGAAGAATACAAAAAGATGAGCAAGATTGTACAGTACATAACGACTCAGCGAGCAGGAGGAAACCCTCATCGAGATGAGATGGCTGAAGACATCAAGGTAATCATCTCTGACCTCAAGGAACACATCGGATTACAGGAGAATGAAGAACTTGGCATGATTAAAGAGAATTATGGAAAAATAATCAACCTCTGTGGGGCTAGCAAGGAGAACACCAAGGAAGTAGAAGATATCATCCTGAATGTTATGCATTCTAAGTCAAACAAACAGAAAGCACTAAAGGATTTTACCGATAAAATAATCACTACTATTGAAGAGGTTGGTGAAAACAAAGAAGAGGATGACGAGTAAGTGTCTTAGTCAGTCCTAATGTCCCTGATAGCTTCTTTGGGCATTGTGTTTGCATTCACAAATATTTCTGTTATGAAAAGTCCTTTGACATATATTTAGAGCAAACATGGATGAACCGAGTAGTAGGCTGTCGCCTGGTAGAGGGGTTCAAGATGATTTCAAAAGAATTCCGATTATTAGTTCGCTCAGCGAGTATCGAAACATGCAGAGAAAGTCAGTAGAATTAGGCACGCAGTTTAGCGAATTTAACCTCAGCAAGGCAGGAATGCTGAAAGTCCCAAAGAAGTTAAAGCATGATGCTGATAATATCATTGAAAAGTTATTGAAGAAAAAGAAGTTGAAGGACTTAATGCCTTCTACACAAATGTTTGCGATAATCACTCAGATTCATAAGACTTCAAGAGATTTTCTTGAGAAGCACCATCCTGACCTCTCTGTGCAGGGATATGTGTATGATTACATTATGAACAAGTATGGTATCAAGAAGATAGCTGATAAGAAGTTTAAGCAATTGTGATCAACTATTCTCAGGTACAATGAGACCAACTCTCGCTCCTTTATCTTCGGCAAATTTATGAGCATTTTCCAACCGCTTGAAAAGGCTCTTTTTATTGAATACACTAACATCAAGGAGGCTATTTTCAGCTTAAATATTGGGTTCATGCCAAATAACATCGAGAGCAATGCTGCTCACTTTGTGCCTTACATTAGGGCCACTAAATATCTGAGCAACCATGTGGAGCCTACGATGCCTCAGGATCAGTACAAGGAACTCCAGAAAAAGGTTGAAAAGGCCAGGAAGGTTGACAAAAAGGGAAAGAACTCTTTTGGAATCATCAACATTGACCAGTTTATCATGCTGATTTTTGCCAGTAGAGGATTCAGGCCTAGGAAGAAATCGATAGTACATGTGTAATTCAACCTTTGGAATGACCAGTGGGGTTTTGGGGTTTTGGGGTTTTGGGGTTTTGGGG